AGAAGGAAACAGCGAAGGACAAGGAGAAAGAGAAGGAGAAGAAGAAGTCGATCTTGGTAAAGATACGCGACTTTGCGTTTGCTGTTGGCGACCCAAGGCATACAAGCAATGGTCCTGATACTCCCCGCCCGACGCGCAGGCTACAGCGTCCTATGAGCACATGGAGCACGAGCAGCGCGGGTAGCAGCGAGGGAGGCGACGAAGACAGTGCCGGTGGTCCGGGCAATGGCTGGAGCATGCCATGGGGTCTTCGTCGCATACCGTGGTTCAGCGGTGGAGGCGGTAAGGGCGAAGGTGGCGCAGGGCCCAGTGCAGGCGATCTAGCGCGGAACTTCGAGGTTGGAAGTCCGACAGAGGAAGAGGGCGGGTCGTTTGAGCGCTGGGGAGCGCAGAACGCCGGCGACGAGCTCAGTGATGAGGATCCGTCTGCCAGCGAGGACGGCGGCGAGGGCGAAGAAGGCGAGCTGGCACCAGGCGTGTATCGCGCTTTATATGCCTTCGATCCCGAAGGCACTGCTGAGATGGCGCTGGAGGAGGATCAGCTCGTACGCATCGTCGGACGCGGCGGCGGTGTAGGCTGGGCCGTTGCACTTCGCGAGGACGGCGAGCATGCGCTCGTACCTGAAGGATACCTCGAGTTCGTCCGCGCGGATGAGTGAGCGTTGGTTGTTGCTGGTGCTCGGACATTCTCTTGGTTGTATTAGATTACTTTTCTGCCCTCTGCCTGCCCTCTTGTGCTCATAGCCCTGCTCAGTCCGTACCATATCCCCCTGTTTGCCTCCATGCATTGCATACGCTTCACTACTTATTCACTGCCCGCTCGTCATCTACTGCCGCAGCTTGTATCGCTTACACGACCCAGTTCGAATTATTTGTGCCATTTCTGTCACTGTCAGTTTGGGACGTACTCGAAAGGCCGAGACGTACGGTTTCAAAGTAGCGAAGTGTTCCAGGATGAGGCTAGATGAAGTGACAAGCGCCCATGAGAGCTTCATGGAACCGGAAAATACCGTCGCGGCGTCGGCGATGTTGACACGGTGAACGCACGCTCTTGTTCTCGACCACCACCACGTTTCCAATAGTACGGCCAACTTCGGCCCTCTTTTACCCCTTCTTTGCCCCATCATGTCTGACCCATGGTCCAAACTATCGCACGCGCGTCTTTGCGTTCGCCCTGTGGGGACGACGAGCGACGAGCAGAAGGAATATCTTGATCAGGAAATTTCGAATCTCGAGTCTGCGTTAGCCCGGGCGAAGCAGCTGCGTAACCAGGAGAACTCCTTCGCCACTTTACCAGAGGAGGTTCTCCTACACATCATTCTTTACCGACGTGACATCTCATCCTACGAACCGAGACCTGACAGGCCCGAACGTGCGAAGGGCGCGTACTGGCATAAGGCCGAACTTCAGTACCAACCGTGGACGAACATCGGCGCAGTTTGTCGCCGTTTCAGACACATCATGTCCACGTGTCCCCAACTCAACTCGAACGTATCGGATATGATCCTGCCCCCGCGGATCATCGAGCGCATTCTTCCTCGGTCCTCGCGTCATGCCCTTACCGTTACCCTCAGCCATCGAGTATCGGGCCGGCATCACGCTGCCCCCGGCGTCCTGCGCTATATCAAACAAAATCGCAGCCGCGTCCAATCGATGACTCTACATGAAGTGCATACTCAGGATGAACTTGACGTCCAGTTGATTGGCAGACTCAAGTTATTCCCCAACCTACGCCACCTCGCCATCCACGATTATCGCCCTTGGCCCTCCCCAATGTCGTTACCGCCGGCTCTCTTTGTGGTCCCCGCCGACCTGACAGGTCGTCCGATGTCTGATTGGCGACCTCCTCCCGCTCTCAAGAGCCTGCATATCACGATGAAACCCTTCCCCTGGGACTCTGCCATATACAGTCATCTCACGCATCTCACGCTCTCGAAGCTGGAATTGCGAGTCACCGCTATGCAGACGCTCTGGAGTAACCTGACACGCGGTGCATGTTTGGAGTCCATCACTTTTGACGACATTGATATCGAGTTTGGCATCACCCTAGAAGAAGAAGAGATCGAGGAATACGAAGAAGAGGGCTTGGAAGAGGAGGAGATCGTCGTTCGACTGGAGCAGAAGTTGCTCATGGACGTTGTCCAGCGTCTCGAACCAGCTCCCGCGACGCTGAAGACATGGAATGTCATACTGTCCACAGACGAGAGTCTACTCGCCTTCATGCGACCCTCGATGTCGATTGCTTATCATGTCAGGATAACCGAACCCTGGCATTGGGAATCGGAACTTGTGCAATTTCTCGCTAAACACTGCCCAGAGCCTAATTCGGATCGGGTCACCGACGGAGCTGAGCAAGTGTCACAGGTCGTTGCCGTCCGCTTCTCTGTCCAGCCCTACCTCGATTCCAAACGTAGAAAGATCCTCCAAGCTACCACCTCTTTCTTCCGCCATCGTGACCCGCGTGCTCCTTTCTTAACATTCCAGTTCGTCGTAGATGGAGAGACGAATGGACTTTCCGCATATGTCCTCGGCGACTTTGACGGATACAATGTGGAGAAAGAGGAACCGTATCTTGACGACGTTCGCGAACTGTCCCTGGAAAGCGTCTCAACGTACTCGCCCGACCGATGGGCTTCCGTTCTGGAACTCTTTCCCTCTCTCACCACCCTCGAAGTATCCGAGGACTTGCTTTCGAACGTCATACCCGCTATTGAGCGAGTCAATGCTGCTTCTGACTCGGACCTACCTCTGGCAATACGCAGACTTCATATACGCCCGAGCGAGAAATATGGATACACGTCGTCTGCGTACTCCGTCAACCTTCTTCTCGACTGGCTGAGCCGTCAGAAGGAGAGAGGGCTTCCTTTGAGGGAAGTGAACGTTCCACCTATCCTCGGTCGGCAAATGGACGAACACTACGACTGGGAGGAGTCTGCGGACGACACCGGCGGAAACTCGGGAGGATGGAGATCGCTGATTGAAGAGTTGCAGTAGTACAATTGAATAACATCGTTCTTGTCATCAGTGAACTATGCAAAAGAAGTTGCCATGACAGACGGTCCTACTAAGTACCGCACATGACAAACGCCCAGCAAGCCGGGAAAGCAAGGGTATAGATAAGTCGACAGTCACTTGGCGAAACTGTCGAACCAGTATGTCGACTCCTGCGCGTCTTCCTGAGGAGGGCTCGTGGGAAGGCATGACTGCGCTTTGATCTACAAGGCAATTATGCGCGAGAAGGGGCAAGGCCGAAGCATTCTTCGACCACCATCGGCGCCACCTCATCCAGCCTCGTGAATTACTCGCTCAACAGTGTACGGCGCCAATTCGTGACATGGCTGACTCTTGGCGCGAGGTAGCGCGAGCTCGTGTCTTCACTCGCCCTCCAGGAACGACGCGTCGCGAACACATGCGCTATCTTGACACGGAGATCGCCAGCCTGGAGTCCATACTGGCCAACGCCAAAGAGATCCGCAATATGCAAAATCTACTCGTCTCTTTCCCTGAGGAGATCTTAGTCGAGATTCTGGCGTACGTACGGGACACGGCCCCTCCTTCGGTCGAGCAAGACGTGTATTGCGGATATCGCAATCCTTGGAATATGCAGTGGCGAAGGTCTTGCTGGAGATGCGGGGAATACTGCCTGTGGACGAGTGCTACTGGAGTTTGCCGCCGAATGAGGGCCGTCATGGCTTGTGGTTTACTGCACGCCAGAGTCTGGGACAATACTCTACCGGCCGTGCTTCTGCGGCGCTCCCTAACGCGTTCTGCGTCCATCCCCCTCGACCTCGACCTCAACTCTGGTGCGCTCGGATCCCACGTGTCTGGCATGGAGGTGCTGAAGTATGTGAAACTTCACCGAGACCGCGTACGCTCCTTATCGCTACATGATGCTCGAGGAAACAATACACTGGCGCTTCACTTCCTCCAACGTCTCAATCTTTTCACAAATCTGAAATCCCTAAAGCTTACCCAACGTGCGAGGAAAGAATGGGGACTGACCGCCCCGGAACTGCCGTTCATCATCCCCCTCAATAGCCTGGGCGCTCCGATCGAAGCTTGGCAACCTCCGCGGTCCATCACAACTTTGTACCTCAGCATTGCTCCTTTCCAGTGGACGAGCACGATATACGACGGGCTCAGCGAATTGACCTTATCCCAATTGTCTCAATCAGATGACAATGCACCCACTCTTGCTGTGATAGGCGACCTATTCCGTCGCATGACACGCTTAGAAAGGCTTACGTTCGACCGGGTGGAAGTGGACGTCGGCGTGCTCGGGATCACGGACGAAGAAGCGGAGTTTCTCGAAACCGATCGAGACGAAGAGGCTCTCTTGTCAGACAGGACCACTGCCTTTCTGGACGAGCAATGGCAAAACGGCGAGTACGCTCTTCCTCCGTCGCTGAAGACCTGGACGGTCGCCTTCAAGCCTATGAGCATGGCGCCGTTTCTCATGCGTCCATCGGATACCGTGAAATACGTGTTGCGGCCTCTATGTCCTCCGCATGACTCGGACGGCACTGTCAAGCGATGCCTCTCGATTCACTTCCCGCCCCCAAGCGGTGACATGCGCCCACATTTGGGCGTACGCTCCCCAATAGTCGCCATCGACTTCGCGGTCGAGGATGGACCGACATCGCTCCAAGCCAGCGCGAAGTACTATCGCCGAACGAACACAAGCTCAGATCCTGACCTCACGGTTCACTTCAGCACGGAGGAGGAAGAGTTCACTCCCTCAGATTGCTTCTTCCACCTGCTTGACGATCACGATTCGTCGGACGCTAAGCGGTGGTTCGCTCGGCCGGACTATGATCAAGTCACGGATCTATCCCTGAGCTGCGTGCCGGCCAAGTACGCATCTACAGACTGGAGACGATTTGCTCGTTACCTTCCGTCCCTCAAAACGATCACGCTCGCTCAGGAGATGGTGCCCACGGTAGTTCTCGGGCTACATCTCAACGTCACCCCGGCGCTTTCCTTCGAGGAACGGCATTATGGAGTGTCTGCTGAAGAATATTTTGCTCAGTGGCTCGGCCCTTCTTGGAAGTCTAGACGCGGCGAAGATCCAGGCCTAGTCGCAGAGACAGCTATCAACGAGCACGAGAGCCCGGAGCCTTTCCCAGCGACCCAAGAGGAAACTCCCGACGCTCAGGTTGATGATCAGACAGAAGAAGGTTACTATTCGAACTTCCCAATCGAGTTCTTCACCGATCAATACGAATATCGCGGTCAAGATGCGCCCGTTCCCGAGGCAGCGACTGGAATCGAGGCCATTCACGTGAAGCCGGGCGAGGAATATGGATACGCATCGTCTGGATACGCCGTTCATCTGCTCTTAGACTGGCTTGCGCATCGCAGAGATATGGGGTGTCCGTTGAAGGAGCTGCGCGTTCCGTCCTCCCTGGCCGCTCAGTTGGAGGAATGCTTTTCGGATGAGGAAGGCGAAGGAGGATGGAGATCCTTGCTGGCCCCGAACACGACCTGATACAATGCGCTACATACTTACACGCTTCCTCGTTAATGGCTTTGTTGTCTCAATCTCAATTAATATCTGCTAGTAGACGTGTACGAATGCTTAGTGCGGAACTGATGTACAAAACATCGATACTGTACCCCCCCACGTAGTGTGACTGTGCTTGCTTTTCACATATCTATACTTACCTAGTGCAATACACATCATGAATCGCTGTTATATCTCAATACTGTATGGTCATAAGCGCTGGTCCGTGACTGCGAGCCAACACTGCCCGGGATGGGGGAAATGGTATCAACGCGGCGCCGCGCATCTAGTGTTGGCTCTGTACCATCATGTGGCACGACTCACCAACATCCGAGCGGCTAGGTCCCGCGCTGGGCCGTCGCGCATCGCGCTCAGCTTCATAGAAACGTCAAAGCGATACGTGAAGTGCCTCGGGCGTCTTATATCTGATATTTGACCACACGAGCCGAGATCACTTCGCAACAGCGCCGCTATGCCTCTTCCTAACACGACCCCGCACGGGCCAATGTTGCCGATGCCTCGAACGAGATGACGATAAGGATAGCCATTCATCTGAATGAACGGGGCGCGATATCATGATATATATATCATGGCGCTTTTGTCAAGGCAACCACTGTCTTTCGTCCCCCCTCGGGTAAGTCAGGCTCTCGGGCCTTATTATTCTTCGCCACCGTCAGAGACCATTTCCTCACCTCACCTCTTACCTCCACCCACCTTCCGAGCCTACTCGCCTTCACTCAGCTAGACATGACAGGCGCATGGCAAGCCGTCGCCAAAGTACGCCTTTCCGTGGCCGGGGGTTACACTCGCAAGGAGCGCGCGCGCTACCTCGACGCGGAGATCCAGAGTCTCGAGGACGTCTTGGCGCAAGCAAAGCAGCTCCACAACACCACGAACCCCTTCGCCTCTCTTCCGGAGGAGATCCTACTACACATCATGCTCCTGCATCGCGACACGACCTCTTCACCTGAAAAGGCCGACTATATATGGACTCGTATCGCCGAAGTCTGCCGGCGCTTCAGGGACATCGCGCGCGCGCCTGTGCTCTTCACGAAGTTGTCTGACCACAACTTGCCTCCAGGCCTCATAGCCCGCTACCTCGAGCGCTCTAGGCTCAACGCACCAAGAGCCCCTCTATCTCTGACACTCGGAAGTCGCGCATATGATGTGCCCTCTCTTGGACCAGCCAATCTGCTAGAGGATCTCGCGGCGCATCACCTCAACCGCCTGCAAACTCTCATCTTGGACGATCACTTGCACCACGAGATCTACGCCAAAGGGAAGGTTGTACAGCGGCTCCTGTGGCCCGCATGTCATAAGCTTTCTCAGCTCAAGAGCCTGACGATCAATCGTTACGTCGAGCGGGAGAACGAAGAGGTTCCGCATCGACGCTTCATCATGCCTGTTGACTCGGATGGTCACCTCATCACTCATTGGGCACCGCCTCCTTCTCTTGAAACGCTCGTCTTGCACATTACACCCTTTCCTTGGAAGTGCATGATCTATGACGATCTTCTCAGCTTGACGCTCAGAGCGGTACACATACCCTCCCCTGACCTTGTCGACCTGCTCTCCCGCATGAAACGCATCGATAACCTCGTACTTGATCGGGTCAAAGTGCTCAGCGATAGCGCTGAGGCTTTAAGATCTCGTGGTACATACGCTCCTCCCGCCTCGCTCAAGAAGTGGCGCATATCCATGGACACACAGCAGAAGGAGGACATTTCGTCTCTTTTGGCGTTCATGCACCCCTCCACTTCCATCTCGTACACCATTGACTTGCACAACGATCCAGAATGCCTGGACAACAAGATATCGTCTTTCCTTGTGTCACACTTTGAACCACACTCGTCGACGCCTCAAGAGCTCTCGGCGCGATTCGGCCGTTGGGAGGATGGAAGCTCGAAAAAGACTGTCTTGATTCGAACGGCCTTTTGTCGCACCCTTGAGCGGGATGCTGTCCCATTTATGACAATCACATACACGCATGCCTCTAGTCTCGGCAAGAAGACCACGGGCGAAGGCAGGGAGCGCTATTCGCCTTCGAACTATCTCGTCGGCAATTTCAGGCCGACGTGGGCCGCGATCTTCCCGTCTTTCCACATGATAACGCAAATGGAGCTCGACTGCGGTACTCACTACGGCCCACACGAGCTCTTAAGAGCCTTCAACTGTATACCAAACGTCACCACTCTACATATCCGGCAAGATATGCTGCAACCCACGCTCACGATGTTGGTTTCACCCTCCACGCGCACTCCCATGATAGACGCGCTCCACGTCATTCCGAGCCGGTACTATGGTTACCAGTCGTATCATGACACTATCGAGTTGGTGTACTTGTGGTTGCATACCAGAAGAGAGGATGGAAGTCTTCCGAAGGATGTGCGGGTGCCTTGTGCTCTGGACGCTGCGTTAAGTGCGCGGATGGGAAATGATTGGAGGTCACGACTTGCTCACAACGCCCATGATCAGTAGCCGACGAAAAGCCTAGTTGTACGCATCGACACAATGTATTTGTTGCTATGAACCGTTACAGAGAGTGATGTAAAGCGCGTGAACCCTACCAGACTTGAACAAAACGGCGGAAGCGATGAGAAGGAGCAAACGTCGACGCGCTGAAGTACTTCTGGCAGTGTCTTCTGCGTCATCGCCTTCGGCGTGAGCGGCGTGATCAGCATAGGTTCGGAACAGGCGCCGCGCGGATCACAATCCCGCGCCACCTCCCTCCCCGCCCTTCATCTTGCCCTCATCCCCAGCAAACTGCACAAACACCAATCCCTTCTCACCCGGCATCACAGCAGGCATCTGAACAAGGATCACCATCAGCGCGATGTCATGGCGCTTTTGTCAAGGCAGCAGCTGTCTTTTGTTCCCTCTCGGGCAGCTCTCAGGCGTTGTTGTTCGCCACCGTTAGAGAACATCGTCTCGCCTCGCCTCTTGCCTTCATCCACCTCACACAACTACGCGCTCCACTTCATCAAACATGATAGACGCATGACAAAGTCTGGCCAGAGTACGCCTCTCTGAGGTCGGGGGTACCACTCGTGAAGAGCGCGCACGCTACCTCGACGCGGAGATCAAGAGTCTCGAGACCATCCTGGCGCAGGCGAAGCAGCTTCACAACACGACGAACCCCTTCGCCTCTCTTCCGGAAGAGATACTGCTGCACATAATGCTCCTGCACCGCGACACCGGCCCTTCATTTCGGAATGGCGAACCTATCGAACTATGGACTGGTATCATCAGAGTCTGCCGACGATTCCGAGACGTCGCGCGTGCGCCCGTGCTTTTTACGAGGTTGTCCGATCACAATCTGCCTTCACACCGCATAGCCAGTTACCTCGAGCGCTTCCGAACCAGCTCGCCTGCAGCCCTTTCCCTGACGCTCGGAGGTACGATATATGATATCAAAAGGCATGACACTCTGCTAGAAGAGATCGCAGCACACCACTCCAATCGCTTGCGTTCTCTAGTCCTGGACGATCATCATCTTCACGAGGTATACGCCAAGGGCAAGGTCGTTCAGCAGTTCCTGTGGCCCGTGTGGTCTAAGCTTTCCAACCTGAAAAGCCTGGCCATCCATCGTTACGTCGAGGAACAGTGGGAGCGACGGGTGACCTATGGACGTTTCATTGAGCCTATCGACATGGACGGACTTCCTATCGCCAATTGGTTACCCCCGCCATCGCTCGAGAGTCTCGAACTGCTCATCACCCCTTTCCCCTGGAGATGCGCTATCTACGATAACCTTCTGAGGCTCACGCTGAAGATGGTGCACAAACCCTACCCCGATCTCATCGGCTTGCTCTCTCGTATGCGGCGCATAGAACACCTTACGTTCGATGAAGTCAAAGTTGTCGCCGGCGAGACCCCCGGTAGGTGGGAGTTGCCGCGGACGTACGCTCCCCCCGTGTCGCTCAAGACATGGCGTGTCGCGTTCGACACAAGGAAGAAGGGGGATTGCTCGCCCTTGCTGGCGTTTATGCAGCCCTCCGCGTCTATCTCATACGTTGTTGATCTACACGGCGATCCTGGCTACCTGTCGAACGACCTCACGAACTTCCTTTCCGAGCACTTCGAACAGCGGGTGCCGCTGCCACCTGCACTCTCGGTCCATTACAGTATGAAAGTCCAACCGGGCTCCGATCCTGAAGCCAAAGACATGTTCCATGCCCGAACCAGCTTCTTCCGCAGTTCGGACCGAGATGCCGCACCCTCTGTGACGGTGAACTACACGCACGCGCTCGACGGGAAGAGCGCGGAGAAGAACAAGCCGCCGTACAAAGTATCTTCCTATCTAATCGGGCTTTTCAAGCCGGACTGGGCATGCATCTTTCCATCGTGTCACACGGTGACCGAACTCTCCCTCGACTTCGGCGAATACTACGACGCTGGCGACCTTTTAAGCGCCTTCAAATTCTTCAGAAGCGTCACCACCCTGCGTGTTCCTGAAGATATGCTAGAAATGGCACTCTCTGTGTTGATCGCACTCCGAGCGGACGTCCCCAATATCGACGTGCTGCGCGTAGCCCCAAGCGAGCGATACGGCTTTCAGTCCTCGAAAACCACCATCGAGCTGATGTATCTCTGGGTGCACACTCTCAGGGATGATGGGACCCTTCCTAAGGATGTGCGTGTGCCGTCGGCGCTTGATGCGGGTTTGACTGCGCGCATGGGAGAGGGTTGGAGATCACGGCTTGCTCAGTAGTGATCGCGGTGCCCTACGTATTACGACTATGAATTTCATGGCTTAATGTACTAGTGAATGTGACAGGTATAACGATTGTATCACATCCTTTCGTAGATGTGACCAGCCGCGTCTATCAGATCAAATCGCGGGGAACCAGGAATCGGTCAGACATTGGTGGAGAGAGAGAGGCCGAGGAGACGATGCTGGGTGGCCGGTCGAGTCTCAAGCCTGTAGAGAGCTAAGTCGAATGTATGTCTGTTTTGATCATGATGGTATAGAGCGAACTTGGAGCGAACTTGTCGGGACGATAGGCGCTGACACGCGCCAGACGCGTCTTGCCACGCGGCATATCGTTCTCCCACCGTTCTCAGTGACCAGTACCTATTCCGGCGCTGTGGGTCTCTACTACCATCATGCTATTAAGCAGGGTGTCATATCAGCTGCAGAGGTGTGCACTTTCATTCGATGCGAGGAGTGTCCCTCGCATGGACCGACACCACGTCGATGAATGGATTTGGTGCCACGGAAATCCTGATGAACTGTTATGTTGATTCTTAGTTTGTGACGGCATTCTATTGCCTGAAAATGCTAACCGAATTATATTGTAAATCCGTAAGTCAGGGCCAAAATGGCACGATTTTTCTATGGGATTTTCCAAACGATAAAGGCTTATCAACTTTAGAATCAAGTCGGGATTTTATTCCCCTTTGTGGCCGAGCAAATGCCATCATCCACGTAGTGCGAGCCCGACTCAGCGCCGAACTTGAAGAACTAACGTGACCGCGTCTGAATTGCGTCAGTCAGATCTCCCGCATCTCAGATCTTGTTCTCAACGCTCGTCGACCCTGTACCACCACCACCACCACCACCACCACACCTTTCATCCTGATATCACTGCACTAGTATGCCTCCTAGACTGAATAAAAGGCAGCAACGCGAGCTGGAAGAGCTCGAAGCGCTCGGCGGAGGTCTTTCCGGCGGACTCACACCCGTCGACACTGACTCGGAGGAGGACGCGCCACAAACTGCTAAGGCGCAGAGTGCATTCGCAGCGGTGCGTACCATACGGCACTGGCTATCAATACATGTACTGACTCGCACGTGATCTTGGTAGCTGATGGCATCGAGCAACGCGGACGAAGATGAGGAAGAGGACGAGGAGGACGCGCCGGAGCAGGCACGGTCGCGCAAGTCGAAAAAGGTGCGCTAGCCGGTATGTCGTACATCTCCATTCTGACTTCTACGCGTAAAGTCTAAGAAGAAAAAGAAGAAGCCGACGGCATCCACCGATACGCCTGCAGTCGCCACACCAACCCCCGCGCCTTCTGCGCCTGTAGCCGCGAAGGAGAACGTCACTCCTGCCAAAGCTGCCCCGTCACCCGCGGTTGCGTCTACCAGCACTCCGGATGTACAGTCTGGGACCGCTACACCCACGATGTCGAAGCAGGAGCGCAAGGCGCTGAAGAAACAACGGGCGAAGGAGAGGCTCGAGAAGGACGACATCGACCGTGCGCTCGAGGAGCTGGCCACCACGTGCGCAATCTCATATCTGCATCCTTACATGTAATTTACTGGCATGTCGTATAGCGATCCGGCGATGCGGGCCGCACACGAGCGCAATCTGGCCTCGAAAGCCAAAGGCGCAACTTCCCCCGCCGCCCGCGAATGGCACTCCCTTCTCACCCTCCAACCTGCCAACTTGGACCCCGACAGCGAAATGCGCAAGTACTTCGGCACCAAAGTGGTCGCACAAGCCAAAGCCGAGTCTGCCTCATCATCCTCCGGTCCCACGCGTAAACCTCAACCACCAGATCGCACGCAACTCACGCGACCCAGAGCGACGTGGTGGCCAGGACGTATGAGGGAGGGGCTGAGTATGAGCGAGTTGAGCGATGAGGAGTGTGAGGGGAAGAGCGGGTGGAGTGAGGATGGCGAGGAGAGGTGGTGGAGCGTTGAGTACAGCAAGAGGTATAAGGGCATCACGAGGACTTTCATGAGTCTCGTGAAGATCGGAGACGCGGACGGGCTTTTCAATATTCTGAGGCAGGTGCCCTGGCATGCGGATACGCTGTTGCAGCTCGCGGATATCTACAGCCATCGAGAGGGTGCGTACGCGTCTCTCTGGCTGCTCTATGTAGAATTGCCTTACTGAATCTATGTTACAGAACATAGTACGGCCGTGGACTTCATCGACCGTGCTATCTTCACCTACGAACGCGCTTTCATCGGCGGCTTCAACTTCTCGGGCTCAAATAGGCTCGATTTCTCACGCGTGGAGAATAGGCCGTTCTTCCTCGCTTTACATCGGCAGACAATGTACGTCCCCTCATTCCTTCCATATTTCCTGGACTAATATAACACTGGCAGTGACCAGCAACGCCGCGGTGTCTTCCGCACGGCCTTCGAATGGGCCCGTCTACTCTGGTCCTTAGACCCGTGGTCAGACCCACACGGCGCCCTCCTCCATCTCGACTTCCTCGCCATCAAATCAGGAATGCACAACTGGCTTCTGAACGTCATACGCGTGCTCGACGGTCGCGGTCCCTTATTCGACATTCCCGGCTGGGCCTACGCCAAAGCTTTGGCGCTCAAGGCGAATAAGGATGACGAAGGAGCGAAGGAGGCGTTGGAGAGCGCTGTGAGGGAATGGCCGAGCGTTGTACCGCTTTTGGCGGATAAGTGCGATATTGCGCTGAGTGGGGATGTTCGGGGGCATCGGGCGTTCAGGATATTCACCAAAGACATGTACGTTTTTTGACTTGAAGTCGTCTCGTTTTTAACGCTGACTTTTGGTTGTAGGTTCTCAGACGAGGACGAAACCCTCCTGCACCTCCTCTCGCACCTCTACGTCCAACGTTCCGCGCCACTCTGGAAAGACCCCACCACGCAATCCTGGTTCGCATCTATCGTCGAGTCTGTCACTGCCTCCGGCAAGCTCCCCTCAACACCAACCGATACAGCATCGTACGCGCGTCTCTCTGCCCGAACGAACACAGACTTCGCGCATGGGGTATACAGACACGTCGTAGTCCTCGGCACACCAGCCCAAAGACTACTCAGCTACATCCCCCAACACCTCCTCCGCGAGAACTTTACCTGCGACCCCTTACCGCCTCCGCACGCCGCATCAAAGTACGACGACGCATTCTTCGCGTCAGCCGAAGACCCCTTTTCGATCCTCCCCACACCGCGCTCAACAGCAGCGCAAAACCGGTTACTGGAGCGTGTTATACCGGATGGAGAGATGAGACGACAGATCCAAGAGCTGTTCGACGCGCATCCGGGGCTGCGAGGACAGTTCCCGGGCGGAGTGGTGCAGTTCGCGCAGATCGTGGGGCAGTTGCCGGAGGATCAGCTGGAGGGGCTGATGGTGGAGGCTATGGAGCTGCAGGGTCAGAGAGGAATGGGCGGGGAGGAGGACGAAGAGCCCGTGCATGAGCCTGGACGGATGCCGGGTGGGATGCCGGGCGAGGAGGGGCTGGTGTTTGTGCAGTTTGGTGGAGAGGATGGAGGTGGTGATGGGAGGGAGGCGGCGCGGGATGAGAATGTGATCCGCGCGGCGCCTGTTCCGCCTGTTGATCATGGCGCTCATACCGAAGCCGACGACGACGCGGAGGACGACGAAGATGAAGATGAAGAGGAGGAAGAGGAAGACGTCGCTGTGAGTCCATCTCTACATCTCACCATACATCCCACACCGCTGTACTCACGAACTCTTAGCCCGCACCAGTACGCGCAATTCGTCACTTCCTCGGTCGGTTCTGGGGCGGTGGGCGCGCCGAGCCTGAGAGCTCTGAGGACGAAGATGCACCTGGACCGAGGGGAGAACCGAGGGATGATGATGTTGATTAGGTCTGGCGCTCATTGTAGTGTACTAGTGTATGAGTAGAGAATGTGTCTGTTGTACATTTCTTTCCCGACGAGCGTTGGTCGTGATACTTGCTGGAATCGACGCGCCGGCCCGGTCCGGTCCGATACTCAAAGTTCGGGGCAACTCTTCTTGCCTCTGCCATCGACCGCGACGGCATCTTGGCCACTCTGCCTGTAACATTGCACACCGACTTTGACAGAACATGATCTACGTTTGGAGGTTCACGAACGGCGACAGAAGGAATACCGAGCCACTCTAACGACGATATTCAGCCCCGCCTGAAATCCGTTCCCGCGAAACGCATCGCCGCTTCTCGTTGGACATGCCGTCTGTCCTCCATGTCTGCAAACAACGCGTCCACTCTTCCTCAACGCCCACAAGGTGTCTCCGTGCGAAAAAGAATCAAGAACTCCAGCCCGCACCGACGAGGAGTACGATCAAGCGAGGCCGAAGCCCGCGTCGCTCGTCACGCCTGTGCGAGGGACTCGTTCCGATGTCATATTGCGCTTATATGCAAATGTTTCAATGCTTGAAGAGCGCCACGTTGCGCCGGTTCTTTATCATAGGTCCGACCGCTCGAAAACACGTCGTCCATGCCTCGGGACGCTGATCATGCCGATCAGGCTGCGCGTTGTCTCGAAATTCATCATACTTGCCCGGACGCGCGAATACCACGACGCATCTGCGTGTTCAGTTAGTCCAAGAATGTCACGTGCGGGGTGGGAGTGTAGGACTATTGCTGCAGGCGTGTTTCAGCCGGCAACACTACTCTGATCTTCCATCATGACGACCTTCTCACTCGCCTCCACGCTGCACATCCGGGACTCCCAATCCATCCCCGAGCCCATCGTGCCGCGAGCCTACCAGGCGGCTCATCTGGGTCACCTTCATTTCTCAGATCCTCCGCTGACTGCCTCCGTGTCGGGGACCGCCGTGAGCGTCGTTCGGGACGCGCGCATCCGGGAGTCCGCATCGATCAGCGTCTGGCGAGGTGTCTTAACGGATGCCAACGGTCAGCCCATCAGGGTCGTTGGTAAAGAAGCATATGACTTCGCACGACTGCGTCGGCTCGCGAACGAGGTCAAGATCTATGGCCTTCTCAAGAAGTTCCAGGGAGATCACATACCGACCTTGCTCGGGATGTATACCCAGGATCCCGACGTACTTCCCGATAGCAGGAGTGCCCCAATACACGCCGTCGTCCTATGGATTGATATGGGAATGGCCTTTGAGACATGGCAAGATATTCGCCAGATGAGCAAGGACTTCCGCATCAGGGGACCGCCCTGCCGCTAAAACCGCGGTTAAGCGAACTTAAGGCCCGCTCACGCGACAAAGGAGGCTAAGTCGGCCTCATGCCTCCTAATCGGCGTTCTTGCCAATCGGCGACTAACAACGTGCTTCACCGAAGCGCGACACGGGCTCAAAAGGGCTTAAAGTAGCTTACCGTATTATTAATGGAATTAATTCGCACCTTTTTTGCCCCTTATCGGCCACCAAGTCCGCGTGAGATGCAAGATCATGTCAATTGTCTGAGGCGGCGTAAGTAGTGTACAAGGTGTAGCGAGCATGGTACGAATGGAATGCGAGGAGGAGAATATTGAAGATACATGTTGAGATGGGGGAGAAGGGACAGCAGTCAAAATACAGCAAGAGATACGTCCATGGGAGCAAGAAGAGGCGAAGACATGCGCGACGGCGTCCATTGGTGATCTGGTTCCCGCGGCGCCAACAGCACGGAGGTACTGCTACCGTTCGCCCGAGCTGGCGCTGGCGCAGGCAAGACACAGTATCCTAAAGTTAACATTAGCATGTATCAAGTAAGTAAGGCCCAGACATCGCACCTGCTGAACACCCGTCTACCAGTACTCCGGTCCCTCGTCCGGCAGCTCATCCAGCTGCTGCATCATATCCCCGTGCTTCCGCACGTACTGCAGCCGACACTCCTGGCAGCTCGAGATATCGCCGCATGGCAGGATCTGGAATTCGACCGGCATATGCCCTCGCGCGACCGACGCGAGCGCATAGCGGAGGTACAGATGGTTCTCGAGGATGTCCATCTTGGCCTCGGTCATGCCTTTCGTCTTGATCCTGCTGAGCGCCGCGCTCGTGTACGGCCAATCGCGTGAGCCGCTCTTCCTCACATCAAGACCCTCTGCGCCACGGACGCCCGACAAGAAGCTCGCCATCTCCTGGAGCCATCGACCGCGATCCGACAGCGTGTCAGACTCAGCGGACCATGGTTCCAGCCAGAAGTCCGAGCGGATCGGGTGGCCGCCAAGCGCGACACGCTTGATGGCGCCCAGGACCTTGTTCAAGTTGTTCGGGTCGGGAGCGGTGTAGTCGGGCGTGTAATGGATCCCGTGCTCGTCCTTCAGCCTATTGATACCCGCGGCCGTGAGCGTGTCGCGATGGACGAGTTCGGGAAGCCAGTGGAGCAGGTGCCACATGTTGAGCTGGAAGAGGAGGCCTGTCCTCAGCAGCGCATCCTTCTCAAGGAGTTCCTCTGTGACCTCGTGCCCGCACGGCAGTTTCCCCCAAGCGGGGCGCTCGGCGCGGTTCTGCCGAAGGTACTCGTAGTGATCCCGGAATAAGTCCTTGCCGCTGTACTCGTCGTCGGCCGCATCAGCCCACAGGTCCGCTTCCTCCCACACAATGTTGAGCAGCGACCTCCAAAATCTCGGTCCGAAGCGACCGAGATTACTATCGGGGTTCTTCTGCTTGAGCTCGATGATCTTGAGGAAGGACGGCAGCATGTGGACGAAGTTGACGAGATAGCGTAGCTGGCGCTTGTCGTTCGCGCCGATGATGATGTGGACGGGCGGAAGGTAGGACGCCTGCGACTTTGTGCCCGGGTCCAGCATAACGGCGTGCTCGAGCATTTCGCTCTCGGCTCTGGCGTAGGGAACAATACGATGCGCCAGGTATTTCGGGCGAATTGTTGTAAGTCGGTCGTAGTAGCTGCGGAGAGCGGGAACCGCCTCGGCGATCCAAGCGTAGCGTTCGGCGGTTGTGGCGCGCGCCCTTACGGGGTTCTTCTGCTTGAAGGTTTCCTCGCGAAGCTCCTGCTCCTTCTCCCGCTCGAGACGCCGACGCTTCCGTTCTAGATGGAGAGACGGTAAGTGACTACGTCCAACGGCAATTAAGAACGACTTACTGTCTTCGTCCGCAATGCGCTTTCGCTTGAGCGCCTGAGCCCGATCGGACGGCTTGAAATCGTCCTCGTCCTCGTCCTCGTCCTTATCCAAACCCTCCGCATCCTCGC